GTTGAGACTTCAAACCATAACACGGCATCATTGCTGTGTGTGTTTCCGGACGCTTTTGAACTAGTAGCGCGCACGTGCTGTGCAATCAGTAGGGTAAAGTTCTTGATGTGCTGAAGTCCTTGATGTGCCTGCACCTGCATTTGCATGGAGCCTGTTGTTCACTGTGGGGTCAGGAGGGGGCAGAGGGTCTGCATTTGAATGGAGCCTGTTGTTCACTGTGGGGTCAGGAGGGGGCAGAGGGTAAACCTTGCAGGGGGATGGAGAAAAGGACTTCCGGTGGAAATCGCCAAGAAATTATTTTGGGGGCAATCGTCCTAAGAGGTCATGTGGGAAAACTTTGCGTATTGGCGATGTGCTGAATCATACCTGTTCAGGGGGCAGCAGCAAGCTGTGGATCTTTGCACTTGAACAGGGGCAGCAGCAAGCTGTGTATCTTTGCACTTGTGCAAGTGTTTGCCCAACCATAGGACAAAGACGGAACTGAACGGAAGGTGTTCTTGGCAGCAGCTGACGATCATCCGACTTGTGAGAGCATTTGCCCAACCTTGAGATAAAGACCGAACGGAAGGAGCTCAACCATGGGATAAAGACCGAATGGAAGGAGCTCAACCATGGGATAAAGACAGAACGGTAGGAGCTCTTAGCAGCAGCGTACAAAACTTCCGAACCCCTACGACACACTTGATGACGTATCTCATGCGTTGATGATGTGCAGCCCAGTGGGTTTGCCTGTTAATCTGGAGGGTAATGACGATGCCTGACGATGTCAAAAACATGTGTTTGATTGTGGCTGTACCAATAGGCAGGCAACTGGATGAGAGATCAAATGGGAAAGGAGGGGAGTTGGATGGAGTTTTGGAGTGGCTTTGCATGTTCAGATCTGCAATGGGAAAGGGGAAACAGAGAACAGTACATGGTAGATATCATGATGGTTGGCTTAACCACAAGTACATCCAAGCCTCTTTTTGCCGAGGCGGATTTCCCCTGCTCGCCAAGCTTTGTCGAAACACCAGTGCGGCATTTTCTTTTTCTTTTGGCCGGGGCCGCCAGCCATTTTGGTCCGGTAGCAGCGTTCATCCGGAATGACTCGTTTCCAATTCTCAAGTTTGCCTGGGTGGTGTACTTGCAGTTCAAAGCGACGGTGCCTTCCCCAGAGCGGTCCGCCTTGTTACAAGGTCGCCACACCCAGTATTTGCTGAAGCTAAGGCCTGGATCCCATTGCCTGGCAGTAGCTTGGAAAGCTTCCGCCAACCCAAATCGTAGAGATCCTACCGCAGCATGCATTTTCATCAGGTCCGTCAATGTGGGTTACCCGATAAGGAAAAGCTTTCCTTATACAGAAAGGAAGCCTCTGCTTGTGGCAGTCCCCTGCCAATCTCTGATTCTCCATTCCACATGGGATGCCCAAAACGAGAGAGGTGCCTCCCCCCTCCCCCCTGCTCCCTCAGGATGGCGATCACCACGGGCAACGGGCAAACAGAGCTGAGTGAAAACATCTGCCACGCAGTTGCCAAGGAGTTCGGCTGCCACTCCAGAAAAATTATCTGGAACCGCAAGAAATGTTTTTCCAGAGGCTTGGCGGAAAGCAGTGAGATCCCGGCCTATGTTAGAAAGTCTTCCGGATTGACTTTCAATCCAACAGTGATGTGTGTGTGGACTTCCTTTCCAGAGCACAGGGTTTGAACTCTCGTCTGAGTCTTCGTTGTTTGCTCACGCGTGTACCATTCAGTCTAGGAGGACCTTAGGAGCACGGAACAGGTTTCATTTTTCTAGAGGAGATGACATGACAAAAGCACTGCAGTTGATGGGAAGCTCCGCAGTCTATAGTTGTCAAATGGGAAGCGGGGGAAGTATACTCACGCACGAGTTATGGTGTGCTGAACTCAGTTGTTAGAGCAAAGGCCAAAGATGTTCTGAATTTGTTGTGCATTTCATATGGGACGTTGGGCCCGGTTCCCGGCATGCACTGCTCCCCACGGATAGATCGAAGCCCATTATTTAAAAAAAGAAAGAAGGAAAAAAGCTTGTAAGAGCAAAGGAAGGGTTTGAACTTTGAACGTTGAACTCCTCTCAATGCTGAAAGCATGTTTGTGTGCACTCTGCTCAGTCCTCGTTTCCTGGCAAGGGACAGATTTGGCTTCTCTTTTACTTCTTTATTTGGAAAAAAAGACCCCTCAGGGAGTCTGACGGAACAGCCTTAGCAACTTGTTTTAGATGAAGTGATTGATAACCCTCAGTGCCTGAATTGAATCGACAGGTGCCAAATGCTGACGGCAATAGCCTTGATGGAAGCAAGGAGGGCCTGGAGGACGAGGCTCAAGCTGCGGAGAGGAAGGACGACGGAAAGCCAGCAGTGCCAAGTACACCAGATACCACTGATTCTACAGTCACGGAAGGGGAACGGGCCAAGGAAAGAGAAAGGGAGAGGAGGGAAGAGAAGGAGAGGCTAAAAGGAGCCGAGTCTGCGAGCCTTGATGGTCTTCTGCAGCGACTCCCAGGCTGTGTCAGCAGGGATATGATCGATCAACTTGCGGTGAGCATGACTGACCGGCTATGACACTTCTGAGTTACTTCTCTCCTGGCTTATGAACGCAAATGTGTCGGTTAATTCTGATTGCTTCGGGCCGCGTGATTAATATTGATATGTAGTATTATGTACTTGTTCCATGAATGCAGAGGCTCATCTATTTTAAGAATTCTTTTGCCTTTTTTTTTTGAAACGAGAAGTGTATTAAAAGCTGGAAACCTAGGCCAGCTTCCCTTATAAAAATTACTCGTTCAATGTCTTCCCTCCGTTATGGCCGAGAGAACCAGAGACAGCAGCCTTGGAGAGAAGGATTGACCACTGCTCCACCCCTGTTCTACCTGCGCATCAGCTATCCTGGGAACCCTTGAACACTGTACCTCTGAGTTGAAGATTTGCCCATTGAGTGTGTCTGCATCATGGGTAGGTCCCCCTCCTCTCCTAACCATATACACAACGTTCAAATTTCAAGTTCATAAAATGCTGTAGTCTGCCTGAGGGATTCCCCTGCAATCATCAATGTGTGATGGTGCGGGTGTGTGCGGGCACACACGAGAGAGAGAGAGAGAGAGAGAGAGAGAGAGAGAGAGAGAGAGAGAGAGAGAGAGAGAGAGAGAGAGAGAGAGAGAGAGAGAGAGAG